TGTGAACGCATTTAATGATGGTACGAAAACCAAAGAGGCGTGACAACTGAAAGGACGTGGGCGCAGCGTCCCTGTGACAGCACTGTACCAGAGGTGACCTTGGCAGAGTAGTGCGCGGCGCTGGCCTCCCACGTGGCAGGGGTAGATTAGGTCTGCCTGACAGCCCTACCTAATCTATGGGTTTAGTGCAGAGGCCCCGTTCCGGGCCTGGACACGTGGCAGCCCAGATATGGCCGAGTTGGGCCTCGACCTCGAGCCCCTGGCAGCCGTTCTGGGCCGTATCGTCACTAGGGCTCCAAAAGGGCCAGGGGACCATCCCGCAGAGGTCGGAGGAGATTCCCCCCCCGGCGCGGGATAAGGACTATCCTGGGCAAGTCCCACAGCGTACGGAGGTCGGACTCTCGAACAGGTATAAATGGCAATGTACTCCACTTACACAAGGTACGCAATCCATTGGCACATTATCCCCAGCTGCTCTGTTCCTGTCAACCTCATTTACCGGGGAACTAACTTGACCGTCGGAGTGCCCTCGGGGACGACCTCGGGGCCCCTTGTCAGATCAACCCTTTGTTTGTTTTGCAGGTTTGGAACCCGCTCTCCCATCAGCACACCGAGCTCATCAACTCAGCTCGGTCCGAGGAAGCTCAGCGCTTCTTCAGCAACTATGATAAAATTCAATTTTCTTGCCCAAAAATGCCAACGATGTGAAAAGCATGAAGAAAGCAATCCATGTTGAAACAAAAGGAAGTAATCTGTGATTTTTATGCCTTGAAAAGCCATATATAACATGAAGGCAGTGAGAAAAAACTTCAATATTAAGATGGAGTATGATATCCTTTTACCTTACAATCTTGGACAACCAAAATTTTCGGGCCAAGTTATCTTGAAGACGCTGTGTGTATTATGTTTCCGTTTGTTTTCACTACTAAGAAGCAGCTCCAAAAATATTGAATTAAGACTCCAACAATTGAATTAAGATTTTTGTTCCAAGTAAAGCAATTATGTACTTGATGAAATAAGAAAGAACTCTGACAATTACAAAATTGTGATGGATATGATCTCACTGTACCTGAAAGTCTTGAGACTGCCAAAGGTTTTCAAAATTTCTTTTTTTCTGTTTTTCTTTTGATTTTCTACGAGTATGATTGTTGAGTATTGAGGAATCAATGATAAAAGTTGAACAAATGGGAGACCATGAGTGATTTAAAGAGTTGAGCATTACAATATGTAAGTCAAGGTCTTCCTCCCCATTTCATATGCAAAAAAAGAAAATTTTTGTTGCAAGCTAAATTACAAATTAACCCTTATGTGCATATAAGGGCACTTGTATGTGCACATACAGCATTCGTGCATATTTGAATGTATATTTACACGTATCAATAAACACAATTTTTTTCAGTAAGATCCACATTGCTATGAGGGTAATTTAGTTATTTAACAATAAAATTAATAGTTGCTTTACTTCATAAGTAATAACCCATGCCCTAGTTACAAATTTTGTAAAATTTACAACCTACTTAGAGAAATTTGTAAATGGGATAAGGGTTATTATTAATATATTATATTAAAAATTTTGGTTTCATGATAAATTTACAAATTAACCCTTATGTGCACATAAGTACACTTGTATGTGCAAATATATCATATGTGTGTATTTGAATAAATACTTATATTTATCAAAACACACATTTTATTATTCATTAATGTGCATGTTTCTGTTCAACAAGGTGCACATTGTTAAGAGGGTAATTCAGTCATTTAGCAATAAAATTATTACGTAGTTGCTTTAATTTCGTGAGTAATAATCCATGCCCCAGTTACAAATCTTGTAAAATTTACAAACTCCTTATAGATTGTTTATCTATTCTTTTTTTCTTTTAATTTTCCCAAATTATTTTGACGACATCATGCTATGCTGCCGGATGATGCCATGCCATATGGCCATTTTGATGACTTAATGAAAGCTCCTTAAGGAAGCGGGGGACATTTCTAGGAAATGGTGCGACAAGATTTTGATGACTAAAGGGAAGAATTTCTGAGACTTGAAAAAGGGGGGGAAAATGGACAAAATGATAGGGCTGGAGGCCGGGGCCATCTTCTAGATATTGTGGAAAAAGGTTTTGTTATCTGCTAAAATGAGCTTTCTGGAATCATACAATCAATTTGCCAGGAATGAGCAAATTGGCAATCAAGCAGATACCTAGAAGGAGACTGATGGAGCTGTTGAAGTGCATAGTTGTTTCACAGTTTGTTTTCGGTAGGATCTGTGATAGGCTACAATTTATTGTTTATTTTATAATTAATTTCCCTTAGTACCTGACCCAATGTAGATTAATTGTCAGATTCCACTCACTTTTAGAAATTTGCAATTTTTACAGGGAGTAGAACAAAAATACCATAACAAATGCCAATTTGACAGTCATCAGAAAAGAGTTCAAGTAGCAGACATCCAAAAGCATTTTAAGAATATCAAGGCGCGACCTCCTTTTTAGTAATTTGCGGAAGACAGCATTCAAAAAGGAAAGAGGAGGCTGGAGTCTTCTTCCTGTGGAGAGCGGACGCAGCACAGTAGCGGTAGACAACAATTAGATAGAAAATTAGATGGGAAGACTTAGGAAAAAAAGATAGCAGAGAATCGAGAGACAACTTTTGGATTAGCTTTTCTCACTTTGACTTTTCCATTAGAAACAATTGAATCATTCTCTGTAGTTTCTTGTTTTTCTTTATTCATTCGATCAACTTGAATCCTCGCGAGGAAGGACAATGGCCGCAATTGTTGCTTCACTTTTGTGTGGGTCTTTCTTATTCGAGATGAATTAAATTTTCTTTTCTAGTCAAGAAACAACGGAGGTTTGATTCATCTAAAATTGTGAGATTAATTTAATTTTATCTTTCTTCTTATTTATTGGTATTTGTATATTCCATAATTGCAGTGCTTATGATTATTTAATTAATTGATTGTCTTGGATCCGGATAATGAGTTGATTTAATAATCTATTGTCAATTGGGGTATTAAATCCGTAATTGTTTAATTGCTTTGAAATAGTGACAACTGGTATGATTAGATTTGTGTCAAAGGAATACGCAGGCTAATCTAAAATAACCCTGGTAGTGCGTTATTTGATTATAATAGGGCTCTTCTAATACGTAAGGCAATTGGGGAATTAAATCTTATGGGCGTACCTAGGATTATTCCTCAATTAGAGCAGTGATTAACGGGCGTACCCTAATCACCGATACAGTAAGGAGGGGTTGACTGTCATCACTTGTTTGACAGTTATAACCTATTTATTAGTAAATAATTGGAATTGCTTGTGCATCGATGATCAATTAAGTGAACCATTGCTGAAGTTATTTCTTGACTAGACCTTTAATTATTATTACTCTAATTTCAGTGAATTGTCATTTAATTTCTAGTTAACTATTTATTTTTATTCGAACTCCTTTGATTGTCGTCGTTTATACAAAAACACTCCCTTGTTACTGTGGATTTGAAAAGGAATGAATTTTCCCCAGTCCTTGAGGATACGACCCTACTTGCCCTATTTACAAATCAACAATTCCTTGTGAATAAGCAATCTCATTCTGGTATATCGGGTTAAACAAACTTTTCGAGAATATGGTGAATCAAGTAACCAATTGCACACCTAGAGTACTTGCTCCAGTACTTAAAATCGGGTTTTGATATTTTAATTGGCAACTAAGGGGCTGCTTGGTTAAAGGGTTTGGGAATCAAATAATGGAATGAACCCCTTATTTATTGCTTGGATTAAGTCTATTGGAATGCAATTTCTGGAATCATTTCTAAAAAATCGGACTTTCACCATTCCTGAGTAAATTGGGAGGTTTTGGACAAAACCCTCAACTCATTCCCGAGCAAAAATATTTATGACGAACCTACCCTCTTTTTCTCTTCATTACACGCCGCACTTTCTGTTCTTCTTTTTCATCAGATTTTCTACCTCTTCTACTTCACCGGTTGAACAACCATAAAGATCAGTGGCTTTCGACTCTCCTTGGACAACGAATTCTAGAGTTGAAGAGTCTTCTACTAGGGTGAATTCCTTGATCCCAGGTCAATGGATTACAAACTCCCTTGCCTCTGCAATTTTCTTTTCGTATGCAAGCTTTTCTCTTTCTTCTTCTCTGTTTTTTCAGGCTACTCACTGGGTAGCTGAAAATAAAGAAGAAAAGAAAGGAATCTGATACAATAACACTAACTGGACCAAATCTTCTCTGTTTTGCAAAAAAGTCTTCCTTCCATGAATTCATATTCTTTTGTCACAAAATCCAATAAGAAATTATTTCCGCAACAAATACACTATTATTGGTGAGAATAATACATGTTTTTAATCCATGTATTTTGTTGTAATACATGTATTTTAATTCACTTACTTCAACAAATACATTATTTTGTTCTTTTTTTTGGTGAGATAAATGTTAATGTCACTAGATTTGTCATTTTTATGTTTTTAATGTGTTTTCTTGGATTACGCATTCAATGGAGGTCAATCAATTCTTGATCTTTTGGTTATTTGATCCGTGAATACTGGTATAGTTTGGGTGGGTTTCTACATGCCCTGTACCTGTTTGTAAAATTGTCTGCTTGAATAGCTTTCAGTTTCATAGTTATTCGTACATTAGGATTTCAAGTTTCAACCATCAATTTCGTTTGTTTATGCTTATTTATATCTATACATCATTGTGTTTACGGATGTATGATGCATGTCTAGGCCCTTTTAATAAGATCAATTGATGTTTAATGCATTTGAAGATTTTGATGCCGTAATCTAGTTTGGTGAATACTTACATTTGGTTGTCATATTGTTATGTAGACAAAGATGCCACGTTTGCCTATTGAAAACAGAAGACGCAAAAAATATCGAGGGCAAAGCCAGATTTTATCAGGAATGATAATGGTTGTTATTGCACTATTTATGATGTGGTACCAGTTAATATTCATACATCTCAAAAGTAGAAGACGCCAAATAAAATCAAAAGAAGAAAAAGTCACTGAGCGCATGCAACACTTATTCAATTTGACTAGGGAGAGTGATGCTTATTGTATTAGCGAACTTCGTATGGATAGACGAACATTTGGGATATTATGTGAAATGATTAGAGACACTGGAGGTTTGAAAGCTACAAGAAACATGTCAATAGAAGAAATTGTTGCCATGTTTGTATATGTTTTGGCTCACCACAAGAAAAGTAGAACAATTTGTGGTCTATTTTGGAGAAGTAGAGAAACGGTGAGTCGTCAATTTAATCTTTGCCTCCTAGCAGTTTTGAAATTGCATACTATATTACTTAAGAAGCCTGAGCCTATTACCGAAGATTGCACAGATGAGAGATGGAAATGTTTTAAGGTAATTCAAATATTAAAATACAATCATTTAATAAAATGTATGTTTTCATCTAAACTATCCAATATAGACATTTTAACTCATTTATATTTTTTATTTTTGTTAAAATAGAATTGTTTAGGTGCCTTAGATGGGACATTAATAGATGTGACACCACCCACCGAACAAAAATCAAGATACCGAACGAGAAAAGGAAGTATTGCAACGAATGTATTAGGGGTTTGTTCTCCTAATATGCAATTTATCTATGTCTTGCCTGGTTGGGAAGGTTCGGCACATGATGGTCGTGTGCTTCGAAATGCTATCTCTAGACCAAATGGTCTTAGAGTCCCACAAGGTAAACATATATTGCAGTATTCAATACCATTCAATCAATTTTTTTTCGAAAATAAGGTAGTCTAGTATTAATTTGTACATGATTGAATTTTGAAGGTTGTTATTACTTGGTGGATGCTGGATATTGTAATGCTGATGGATTTCTTGCCCCTTATCGAGGGCAAAGATATCACCTTAATGAATTCAATGGTTATCGACCACAAAGACCAGAGGAATATTTCAACATGAAACATTCTAAAGCTAGAAATATCATAGAAAGATGTTTTGGATTGCTAAAAGGAAGGTGGAAGATTCTAGCATCCCCTTCATTTTTTCCAATTCAAACACAAGTGCGAATAATTATGGCATGTTGTCTGCTGCACAACTTGATAAGGAAGTTCATGACTTTTGATCCACAAGAATTACTACAAAGTGAAGAAAATGAAAGTGAAGATGAAGACAGTGATGAAGAAGTAGAGTGCATATCCACTATTTTGCCAAGTGATCAATGGGCAAATTTTAGAAATAATTTAGCACATGAAATGTTTGACAATTGGAGGGCTGGACTTAGTATTTAGCTATGAATGGATGTTTAGCTCTTAGACTCATTAAATTTGGATTGACATTTGATGTACTCTTGTAGTGGATTTGTGAATTAGATTGACACTTGATGTATGTTCTTTTAAATTTGGATTGACTTTTAATTGTATGTTCTTTTATGTGTTTTGTTATATTATAAATTTCAGTTATATGCTATTGTGTATCAAAATTAATTGATATATATGGGTTGACTTCTAAATGATAGGATGGAGAATGATGAAATTGTACGTGGAAGAGGGAAAAATAAATGTTTTTGGACTGGTGAAGAGGTAAAAGTGCTCATAGAATCATTGCAAGAGTTGGCTTGTGATCCAATGTGGAAATCAGATGGAGGATTTAAAAATAATTATATGAGCGAATTGCTTAAAATTATCTTGCGTAAGCAACCTACTTTTACCAAACAAGTCAGCCCACATATTGAATCAAAAGTTAAGTGGCTGAAAAATAGGTTCCATGCAATTGTTGAAATGTGCAAAGAAAGTGGTTGTAGTTGGAATGATGCTGAGAAAAAGATTTCTTGTGAAAAACAGTGGTATGATGATTGGTGCAAGGTAAGAAATTGATTACTTTTTACATTCTGATATGCTCTTTTTCAACCTTTTATTAAGATTATCATTTATCTTTCTATTCTATCTCTAGACTCATAAGGATGCGAAGGGCCTTTGGGATGTCAAATTTCCATATTTAGGAGATCTTGAAATTGTATATGGAAGAGACAGAGCCACTGGAAATGTTGCTGAAGATTTTGCACAAGCTGTCCAAGATATGGAAGATGTCCAAAATTTGGAGGAAGGACATGAAGGGCTTGATGCTATGTCAAACTCGGATAATGATAAGGTAGAAGAAGATGAAGTAAATTCCATAGAGCAATCAACTCAATCAAGCTCAACAAGTACAAGAAATTCCAAGAAACAAAAGAAACAATCCCCTCCCATTGCAAATGTGTCAAAAAAAATGAAATCTGCATCAACAACAAGGGGTGATCTTGATGCATCATTGCAACTTCTCACCAGCAAATTTGGAGATTTCGTGGAGGGAATTCAAGCTAATTTCACAACTATGGCAGCAGCCATGTCAAATGAAGATAAACGTGAGCAATTGGTCTCCGATAGAAGAGATCAAGTTGTTGCTGAGTTAATGAAACTTGCTTTACCGAGTGGAGATGTAATGAATGCAGCCGACATACTTTCGGAGCAGATTTCCAAGCTTCATGTGTTCTACAATCTTCCTGCAGAAATGAAACGACAATATGTAATTAACCTCCTTTATCCTCCATCTACTCGCTGAAGTAAAATTATTGTTAGCTGGAAAGTGATGATTTGATGGCAATTTCTTTTTGTTATGGTGATTGTTAGATGGTTATATGATTAGTCTTTTGGAGATTGTGGACATTGAGTGGCACTCTCGACTGGATTAGACAATTGACTTGTATTTGGTATGGTTAGCTTTTGTGATTTGAGTCTCCTTCTTTTGTTCATATATGTAAGGAGAGATCTATTTCATATCATTATCTAATATAAAAATGCAACTTTCAAATACGTTATTTTAATTTTCGTAAATTTGTTTAAATATAAAAAATTGGTTAAATAGCGTATTAAATACAAAACCTGCTAATTTCCCATAAAGATCTGGTATCTTATGAGTAATTTCTTTTTTTTTTTAACTTTCACATATTTAATTTATGTTAAATACAAAACATACTAGTTTTCCTTTGGGCGCTATTTAATCAATTTTTTTCATAAAGAATTGGTATGTTTTCCATAAAGAGTTGGTACAAAACATACTACAAAACCTGTCAGTTTCCCTTAAAGAGCTGGTATCTTATGGGTAATTTTGTTTTTTTAACTTTCACATATTTAATTTATGTTAAATACAAAACATACTAGTTTTCCTTTGGGCACTATTTAATCAAATTTTTCCATAAAGCTGGTACAAAACCTGCCAATTTTCCATAAAGAGCTGGTATCTTATGGGCTATTTAACCAATTTTTCATATTTAAATAAATTTCCAAAACATAAAATAACGTATTTGAAAGTTGCGTTTTTATTTGGAAGAACACATTCCTTGGATGCATTTTTCACCCTTTGGGAAGAGACTAAAAAATCATCACCTTTTGGGTGATTGTTTAAAAACTCCTTTTTTTGGGAATTTACTCCTTGTTAATGCAGCCACTATATTTATTTTCTGGTATTAATTTTTTTATTATTTATGATTTTCTTATGTTTTATCAAAAAGTTAATAACTATTGTAGTTACAATTATGAAAATGTTAATTTGTCGTATGTGTAATTCTTTTGTTTTAGAAGAATTGTTATATCAGGGGTAAATTTGGAATTTAATTGCATTTAATTCCGAAACACTCATCAAACCAAGCATCAGGAATTGGAATAATGCTAATTCCAATGTGTGAACCAAGCAAGATATTGGAATGAAAAGTTTTAATTCCAAAACCAGAGTCTATGATTCCAATTACAATTCCAATTCCTAAACTTGAACCAAGCGCCCCCTAAGTTTATTTTTATTATTGCACAGGCATCGACAACCTGTCAGTCTGAGTAATTACTTGTATGGTTCCCTATTTTCGTAGAAATACTTTTCTTCTGTAATATTTAATTCCAAAATATTTTTCCTATGTAATATTTAATTCCAAACTTTATGGGATTCTGAAGAAGAGTTGGCATAAATTGTTAGATAAAAACCAAGGTCTAAGCCCACATCACAGGTACAAGAGATCTCTATGAACCATTAATTTTGTGGTGTAACTTTAACCCACTTGATGCAGATAACTATTTTTTTTAAGTGCATGATTCATCTGTTAAAAAATAAAAATTCATCAAGAAAATGCATGTTCTTTGTTTGTCCAAAAAAAGAAAAAAAAGGAATGTTAGGGTGGTTGCCTAAATTAAACCTTTGGTGAAACTATCACCTATTAAACCCAAAATCTATATAGCGATTATTAAGAAATAAATTACTGATAAAATAGCGAAAGTGTACCTGGATTCATATCGACAAACTGATATATGAATCTCCAAGGGTATTGGGGTGTTCTTTCAGGTCAACACGTATTCGCCGATCTTTGAGAGAGTCTTTTAGTATCTCTCTGGTATCTTTCCTGACGATGGGATATCAGGGAAGAGTTATATTTTGTGGTACTAGAAAATACGACGAATATGATGATACGTGTGACCTGGGGACCATAACCCTATTTATAGGTAACATTCCTGTTACCTTTTAGAGCCCCATTTCAGCCCATCATAGAAATAGGAACCCTTAAGTCTCTACACATTAAAGGCTCACATCCTATTAGACACATTAAGTCTAAACCATATTTGATCATTTTAATTGAATTTAACTTTATTTGACAGTTTGCAACCCATAATTATTCGCATATAAGTCCAACGTTGAATTAAGAATCCACCAAGGAAAAGACAAGAAGAATTGTGCACGAAAACCAACTTCATTAGTCTTTGAGTTAGATACCTTGTGTAATTTTTTATTTCATTATTTTTAATTTTGAGTATATCAAATGAAAGATCTAAACAGAATAGGTAATAGGAGCTGTACCCTAAAAATGTCACGATAAAAATGGCTCAAACACAGTATTTTTTTTTCTCCAAGAAAAGAAGAAGAAGAAAATGTCTCAAAACATCCTACATATATAAAAATATCTCAACAAATTTCTTTTTTTTATTTGCTTTTTTGAAACAAAAATTGAAAGGAAGGATGCTCATCCCATATGTACATAAACTCATAACGTGCTCTAAAACATTTAATTTGGCAGAAGTGTCAATTATACATCCCATATGTCTAGTTTTGTTAGTATCAGTTAGGTCCATGTTTGGATCATCTCATTCTGTCCTCTGTTACAAATTCTTGCCAAGAAATGTCAATTATGTAAAAAACTTGAACAGAGCACTTTGTGCGTTGAAAGAAGAACAAGTGATCAAGATGTTTGGGCCTCACAAATATAACTATGAGAATTGAGAAACAACTACAAAAATCCACGGCTTTAAGATCAATGTGATACTATTGTACCTTGAAATTAGGACAAGTTTTCTTAAAAATTTAAAGAAGGTGAGAACCGCTAAACTGTGCCAAAAAACAAGAAATTTATATTATATTTCAATCCCGCTTTCGTTACTACAAGGTCTATAATCGTTCAGTTTTGATGAATGAATTATAATTGAATCAAGATGTTGCCGCCAAGCAAAGCTATTGGTGAAATAAGAGAAGAACTCCAACAGTTCTAAATTCCGATGGACATGATCTCATTATACCTGAAACTGAACAGAAAACTTGAGGAAGCTGAAAACCTTGAGACTGCCAAGATTACGTATTATGATTGTTGAGTGTTGCGGAAAGGATGGCAAAAGTTGAACTAAAAGCAGGGCAGACCACCACCGGCCTTGCGGGTTCGTGATAACGGGCCCTCGTGAAGGAAGTTCCGAGAGTGTCCAAAGAAAGTTGAACTTATATGGTTCCGCATTTTTGGGTAGTTATCGTTACTTTTATACGCAGGATGGATGCTAATTCTATTATAGCTGCAGGATAGGCTTTTTTGTCTTTAATGTAATTGTTCCTGTCAAACTATTGAAGTGAAATTATCAACGATTTTCTTTAAATGGATAGTTTAAATTAAATCTACTCTTTTTTATTTTTTTAAATAAAAAATAAAAAATTTAAAATCTTCTATTTATAATTCCTCTCACCTTACCTCGCTTCCATTAAACCTACTCCATTATTAGACGTCCAAAAACTATTTTAAACAAAATTTATTTTTTAAAAAAAGCAGGCCAAAAGTAGGCCATCAAAACAGGCGCCCGTAGCCCAATATGTGCCTCAACGGCCAATGGACAACCAGTACTAGTAGTGATCCAGCACTGAAAGGAAATGACTTGGCCGTTGACAACAAGTCTACAACGACAACAGGAAACTTCCAGGAAATTGCGAGGAAGGCTTTTCAAGGTGATGGTTAGACTGGTGAACCCAGAAATTTGAGTAAAACAAAAACATCTCGCACGCGTGATTATTATGTCCAAGTCTGGATTGCATGGGATTTTTTTTTTATAAAAAGTTATTATAACTATTTTATATATGTGACATAAAAAATAATTTAAAAATATGTTCATAAAAAATATATCAATTTTTCTTTGAAAAATGACAATCCAAACACATAGGGTTTAGTATTCTAGATTGATGTCAAGTTGCTGCAAAATTTACCTGTACTAGACAAATGAGTTCCTCCTTTTGTCTAGTCTAAAATTGATCTGCAAAATTTTCTTACTTGAGCAAATAAAAGACATGGACATGCCTTGAATTTTTTTCAATTAAAGTTCCAATACTCTTTTATGGCATGGACTTCATACGATTAAAATTTCCTCACCTCACCTACACCAAGTTCTTGGGAAAATATAAAATTTGGATTGTCATTTTCTAAAATTTTTGTAAAAAAATATATTGTAAGAATTTGATATATGTAAACTTAAAAGATAATTAATAAATATGTTTATAAAAAAAACATAAAATTTTTTTGAGAAAAATAGCAACCAAGTAAGGCGCCTTTCGATGAATTTCTTTTGGAAAAATGACTTGGCCGTTGACAACAAGTCAACAGCGACTAAAGGAAACTCCCAGGAAAATGGTTGTTGTATCAAAGATTGATCACTGGTTCCTCTTTCCTCATCTATAGTGGCTCCATTTGAATTAGCTGTTTTTGGGGGTGTTTTTGAAAAATTTTGCTGTACCAAAGTTTTCAGAAAATATTTTGGAATATTTAAGAGTAGAAGAGATTCTAGAATATATTTTGAGATATTTTTTAAAATTTTAAAAAAATTTAAACTAATTTTTAAATTACCTTTTAAAGTACTTTTTAAAAATTTTTATTATATTTAAAAAATTAGTTTTTAAAAAACAGGTCTTCAGAGCATAATGCAAACAGTCCCGTCTTCAGAACAGTCCCGTCTTCATAGTTTTTGCTTTAATTATCTGTGCAATTAGTCATTAAAGATTTTGGGATGGCAGACTTCAAATATAATACTCCTACATAATAGTTAGACTAAGCATAAGGCATTCTTCTTGTCTTAAAATATGTAACTACTGTTGACCAATTTAGCATTGGACAGCAGCCAATTAATTGTGGTTTCTGTATCTTTGGGTTTTAAATGTGGAACTTATTAACACATTTAAAATTTTTGAGAATATAGGGACTAAAGTACAAACTTATTTTCTATAATTTCAATATTAATATACAACAAATTATATGCCTCTTACTTACATTTTCAAGTATAATATAATCTAGCATTCAATAATTTAAATACATAGAATATTACAATTTACAATAAAGCAAATATAAATAGTAAAAGTGTTAATAAGTTGTGACAAAAATAAGTTTCAATCAATTAGTAGTATTAAAAAGTATAAATTAAACAATTTTTTTAGATAATCTATTTAAAGGTACAATTTATTATCTAAAATTCACAATACAAGCAATATAAGATATTATTCTATTTATGATGTGTTTTCAAGTAATTTAAGAAGTGAGTGTGTGTTTGTGTGTGTGAAAATGTGTTTATATGTGTGAAAAAAATCTTTTTTGTATGTTAAAATGTATGTGAAAAAGTTTATGTATTAAAATATATTAATTAATATATTGGGTCATATTTGGACAATGAGTTTAAAATAACCCACTATAATCCAACCCAAAATCAACCCAATCTAAAGTTGGACGGGTTGGGTATAATCCATTTAAGTGAAAATCCAATATTAACCCGCCCAATCCGCCCAATTGTCAGGTATAATTGTAATCAGACAATGGTTGCTTTTGGCGTAAGCGTGACATATGACTGCGTACAAACAAAGAAAAACTAAAGATATTTCTTGTTAAGAGAAAATAATCACAGAATTGTTCACAAACAAATCACATAATTCTTTAAACAAAGAATCTTTCTGCATCTCTTTTCTCCAATCCCGTGCTGAATTTTCCCTTCTTTTTAATGAAACAAAAAATTTGGTGAGCTGGCCATAACATGGAGTATGATGATATTTGATAATGCGTCTCTTTTCCCTTTTGGTTGTTTCGACGAAAGAAAGAAATGGGGAAGGCAAAGGTAGAAGAAATAAAGAGCTTAATATTCTAATTTACGTTGCGCGGGAAAGGAGGAAACCTCCAGAGAAGTACGTGCCCCACTGGCCAAAGAAATTTGTCAATTTATGCCAGGGTGCTTTTCTAAAAATTTATTATTACCCCACTAAATTGAAAACAGGCCTTCATTGGCCAAAAAAAAAAAAAAAATCTGCTGGGTGTAGAAAAATCTTATTTCTATACACGTTAATTTGTGAGAAGTAAATATATACATACACCCACTTTTAGTTTGATAACAATTGTAATTAAAAATAAACAAGTAAAAAAGATAATCCATTGAGTACGAGTCCAAACTCAATACATCCGTTTGGATTAGTTGTTTTTGGGGGTGTTTTTGAATAATTTTGCTGTAGCAAAGTTTTTAGATTATATTTTGGGATATTTTTAGAAAAGTTTTTGGGATATTTAAGAGTAGAAAAATTTCTAGAATATATTTTGAGATATTTTAAAAAATTTTAAACTAATTTTTAGATTATCTTTTAGAGTACTTTTTAAAAATTTTTATTGTATTTCAAAAACTAGTTTTTGAAAAACACTCCCAATGTCCTAGGAGTTGTTGTCCACTGCTAGATAATTTACACAACCAAAATATATATGTGTGTTTTATTGAGTTGTATGACATTTGTGAACTTTTTTATTTATTTATTTATCTTTGCATGTTACTTATTAAATTCATGATTCACTTCTTTCCATATGGATTTTATTATTGCTAGTTATTGTTTACAATTATATGAACTTTTTAATAATTACTAGTTTAGTAGCACATGCTACGTACGTCGACTAAAAATTTTGCTATTGATTCAAGTGATTAATTTAGAAATTTATAATAATTTTGTTGCAATGTAAATTTCGAACAGAATAAGATTGCAGAAAGAATACTTCAGATGTAAAAATCTAGATATATTACTACCCATTATTTTTTTGCACTATTCATACTGTCTTTGTTTTCTCAACTTCTTTGTTTTCTTTAGAACTCAATATTTTGCGGACCAACTCAATATTTTCATGTATACTGGAGATTAGCAGTCTAACTAATATATTGAATGAGAAAAATATCCTGAATGGGAGTGTTCTGATAACATTTTTGAGGAGTTAAAGCAAGAAGTTTATGTAAGTATTAAAAGCTCAAAAGGAAGAATTGAGAAATTTCTTTACGAAACTCCATGGCAAGTGCAAATAGGGATATTTATTAGAAGAATAAAACGCCAAAGAAGTGATATTATTCAGGTAATCCCTTATGGTCAAAATCTCATTTTTTTGGGAGGCTATTTCAGTTTCTCAACTTTATGTAGTAGAGACCATAATATAATTATTCTGATTTTATTGCCTTCCAACACATATTTTCATCTGTCAAGAACAGAGCAAACAATTCTCGAATTAGGTGCAAATTTGCAGCAAACTAGACCCCTCAATCGAATTGTTTACTATACCATATTCCTACATCATTGTTAATTGGACAAGGAGAGGAGGAGGATGTTACCAGTTTTCGTACCCTTATTTAAATAACCTAGCAGATTGGTTGACTACATCAAATTTGAGTGCTATTCCATATTCAGAGCATTTTGGCACTTGCATTTTTCAGAGCATAATGAAAGCTTACTTTGTTTAAAAAAAATTCACAATTTAATTTGGAAACTGGATAAATTTAATTCTTGTCAGCTTTGGGATGTCCAGTCATCTATATCATGCCAATAACTTTCAGGGGATTGGACTGCAATAATATGATTAAAAAAAATTATTTGTTAAACCATTTGTTCAGAGGATTTTTTTTTTTTTTTCCTTCAGTGGGTTATCCGACTGCATTGGCAACCGACTAGTCCTTCATTATGCCCTGGCCCCGTCCCACCAAGAAGCCAGAGATTGTTAACAAGGTGAGAGTCGACACGCGACCAAAGGCCCTAAAGAGGACATCCCTCGGCCAGCCGCTCTACACCCGGGGGGCATTTGTTCAGGGGATTGGACTGCAATAATATGAGACATAAGCTTACTCTGTTTAGAGGAAAAGGAAAAACCAATTTTTAGTGCATGACCTCTTTGCCTTATTTGGTAATACAAGACAAAAAAATATGATGACGTTTTACTTATTTGCATTCTTAGTTTTTCTCTTTAGGATTTAGAGAGTAGTTTGGGCTCTAGACTTACCATCTCACTTTCTATCACAATATTCATTTAATTATTTTGCCATATAATTTTACATGCGACACTTTGTACTTAATTTGTGAATAAAGCATGTCGTATATTCAAAAGTTATGTGGAAAAAAATAGAGAATAAAATAGAAATTGACATATAAAGTAGGATAAAGGATTTATAATCTGTAAATTGGCATCTTTTTCTTACTCTTTTATGGTGTAATTTTACATGTAACACTACAATCATTCCAAATTACCTCATTTTACTGAGCTCCCAATTGAAAGAAAGGCATCAGTCCTCCAAAGTCCCAGACTAGCCATAAGAAAAGCCATTTAGTGAGAGGCTTAGTAATGCTGTCTCACCAAAGGCGTATCCTTACAACATAAGAACCCAGAGGTTATGACCACGCCTTCAGTACTTGGGATATCCCTAATATCTACCAAGTTTGAATATTTCACTTAATTAAGTATGATTCCAATTTGTGCCATTTGACGCAGTCATTTTACTTGATAAGTAGGGTTTTCTGTAATTTTTATTGGTAGACAAATTGTTGTTGACTTTTGTTATTTTTACCAAGTCATCAAATCTATAAGAGTTAAAAAAAAAGGAATAGTCGCGACCTTCTTTTCTTTTGTGGGCTGGGTCCAAATTACAAGCAGCCATCTGATTTTACGCATCCTAAAGTGAATATAAATGTTAAACATTAAACCAAAAATTTTGTCATAATACCCCAAAACATTTTTGTTGATAATCAAGGAATAGTCACAGAAAACTGTATCACTGCTCCAGCTACAATCAAGTTTAGGAAAAATAGCAACTGTAATACAGCTAAGGAAGAAGTATGTACTGAAATGAAATTTGGCGGTGGTGGACAAGGCTTCAATTAACACTTGTTTTTGCAACATCACCTCTCTTGCAGCAGCAGTTTTGTGGCTACCTGAGAAACACAAAGCAAACTCAACCATGATACTAACGCAAGTACGATCAATATGAATTACAGTGTAATTCTACTTCCTTCCTTCCAACTTATTGTGGCTCTCAATATGAAATTTGGAATTTAAACATTTGCAAACATATACACCCTGTAACATACGTAGAAAGCATCTTCAGAGAAGGGGAAAACAAGACAACTTTCAACAGCAAGAAATGAAAAAATGAAAAAAAAAAACATAGAGCTCAGCTCATTTTTTATGGAATAAATTAATAAAGACACTAAATTCAGAAACAAACAAGGGGGAGGAAAGAGATAGAAAATAAAATATTTAAATTTATAGAAATTAGAAAAACTTAAAAAATATTAAAAAGCTGCATGAAGCAGATTGTTTGGATGAATATAAGAAATGGTGCAGTTCGTAGTTCAGCATTATAGGGAAGGTTGTCAGCAGAAGAAAACTTGAGCCTCACTAGAAATAGGAGAAAGACAGAGAACATGCAATAGCTTAAAATGAAAAAAGAAAATGACATAAAGAAATTTATAACGACGTTGAACTCAAAAATAAATAAGAAAGAAAGAGAAACTAATGTACTTAAATCCATTTTCCCATCAGAACAACTCAAAAGGTGTTAGCAGTTCTGCACCTCAAGAGAGCTTAAAAAAAAACCTATAAAGCTCAACATGGAAAGTATTAATATCGATTCCTACACAATAGCAAATTCTATGCTAGTGGAGAAGTAGATCATTTTGGGGGGAAAAAACCTCAAAGAAAGGAGAGAAAACACGTACATGAGAACCAGTCAGGATTTTGATCACCGTGTGGAAAAAATTGGGTCAAGGGCATTTTTGGCACTAGGATTGTCCCACTCTAATGATTCCCACCATTCTTTATCTCCCCGGATTTTATGAAGAGTGCTGGGAAGAGATGGTGGTCCGTCGATGGTGGAAAGAAACGAAGGCAGCCTCTTTAAATTTGGACAATCAAATATTTTAATCTCATAGATTGAATCGCAGATCATGGCTGCCTTGCAAATGCTCTTCAGTCGAGGCAGGTTTTTCAGACTCAACCACCTCAATTTCGGAAGGATGACATTGGCGGTGGCTCCTTCACTTGAAGTCAATTGGATGCCTTCTCCTCCTCCTTGTCCTACTCCGTTGCCATCTGCTGCTATCTCCTCCAGTCCTTCACAATTGTAAACATATAATATTTCAAGATTTTGAAGGCTCTGCAGCAACTGCACTGTGAATAGCGACTTCATGTTGTGACATTCAAAAATCTCCAATTCTTTTAGGGAAGAGAAGGTGCCAGTTGGAAGCAAATATGGTTCTGATTCTTCGTAAAAAAGACCAATCAGATTTGGCAACCTCCAGAGGCGTAGCATTTGGAGACCACGGAGTGGACTGAAAGACGAGACTTCCAACTGATCACGTGGAGAAGCAGAGGACAATTGCCAGAGGAACTCTATTCCAACCGAATCCACAATAACCAAGTCAGATAAGTTGCTTAAATTTATAAAATTCTTAAAAACATCTGACAAGCACCTAATGCCCATGCCCTCACAATCCTCAATTATCAGACTTTCCATATCATCTGGCAGATTGTTCAATCCTCTACCAAGCTTACACTGATGGAAATGCAGTTGTTTCTCCGAGAACCCCCTCACTTCATTAAAAAAACTCGGATCCTCAGTTAAGATGTCATTGATATAAACATTATTATAGTATTTTGGCCACCGAGTAATTTTATAGAAGTCCGTAAAAGACAAACATCCTTTAAAACTTTCTAACTGGTTCAACACTTCTGGATCATTAACTTGTACCCTACCATAGGGTGGCAATAATAGCAGTTGAAGACGGTGCAATTGAGAAAATGTCCCTTTTGGTATTATTATCTTTCGTCTTAAACTCCAACACTCGTTCAAGTTAAACCTTTCGAGGTTGACCAGTGACTCCCAGCCTTCAGGTAAATCCTCAATCTTAGTTTTGGATAGATCCAATTCCCTCAATTGCTTGAGCTTTCCCAGTGGTGGCACGGATCGGAGGTGCATACAATCCTTCAAGTTGAGCCTTTCGAGATTAACCAATGACTCCAAATCTTGAGTCAAATCCTGAATCCGAGTGGAGGATAGGTCCAAATCCCTCATTTGCTTGAGATTTCCCAGTGGTGGCACAAATCGGAGGTCCCCACAACCCCCCAAAATCAAAGCAGTGAGATTGACCAAGTTTGAAACAGAATTAGGCAACTCTGTTATACCTGCGCACCGAGATAGATTCAAAACTTTAAGTCCACACATGTGCCGAAAGAATGAATCTGGGATTTCTTTTATGAAAACATGAGAAAGAAGCAAGGTTGAGAGCTTAGGACAATTTGGTGACCAGGCCGGTGGAACTTCTATTCCTATAAATTGAAACATACCGGAACAGAAGGAGACTGCATGGAGATCTTCTGTCCATTTTTTTGGTTCCAGTGTTACTCTAGAATTTCCCTTTCCCATGCTTTTCACCAAGAATCGTGGTACATCATCTCTGCTGCTCTCTGGTTTGAAGTTTCCATGCGTGATCCTTAATGCCATGTCTCTGATCAAATCATGCATCTTCACACAGTCATCCCCTTTGAAATCTGTAGTTTTTTCTAGTAAGCAAACACTTATCAGTTTGTTTAATATCGTGTGACCTTCATCAAATTCTTCTGACCATGATTCCCGTTTTGACATCAGCTCTGCCCCAATAAACAGGTCTATTAGTTCCTTTCTTTTTATATCACTATCTTCTGGGAAAAGACAGCAATACAAGAAGCAATTCCTTTCACATTCTTTCAGGCGATTGAAACTCCATTCCAAGATGGGAAACACATCTCGTCCCATCTCATCATGCCCTACTGAACATGCTTTCAATTGCTTCAATGCATATCTCCACACACGGATGTCCGTCTCACCTTTCATGCTCCCAGCCACTGTGATAATACCAAGAGGCAAACCAGAACACCTTTTCGCAGCGGACTTGGCAATATTTTCCAGATCTCCACGAAGCACTGTCTTAGTGTCAAGTGTATGATTAAACAAATCCCAAGCTTCATTTGTAGCCAAAGTTTTAGCTTCAAATACCCTTTGACAGCTAATCCTGTTGCATAATACCAGTGATCGAGTAGTCAAGATCACTCTGCATTTGTTTGCACCAAGAGGAATTCCAATCTTTGCAAAAGAAAACTCTTGCCAAACATCATCGAGTATGAGGACGGACTGCTTCACCAATGCCCTGGACAAAATGGCTGCCCTGCTATCCTCATCGTCCTCATGTGACAGATCAAGCCTTAGGCGTTTCGCAATGTCATCTTGCAGCCTTTTCATGCTGAATTCTTGAGAGACAGTAATCCAATAAACCTTGAATTGAGTTCTCTCAAGGAGATGATTATGGATGTGTTTCGCCAATGTAGTCTTACCCACACCGCCCATCCCATAAATCCCAATGTTTGAGATGCTATCGATGACCAACCACGCCCAGATTGCTTTCAAACCTCTGTCAAACATTTCTCCAAATAATTTTGTAGTCACTCGTGGCTCACCTCTGCTCTCAAAAGCCTCAAGCAAAAGCCCATCAAAATGATTACTTTGCTCCATCAGTTGCTCTACAATTGCATCCATTTTCGCCACTCTATCCCCACTGCTAATTGCATTTTCTAGAAATCCACCCTCTTGTATGCTCTTTTTCAATGCACCGAATTCATTTTCTACTGTTGCTACCTCCTCAAACCAAATCTCAACCTCCCTTTTCCTTTTCTTAGTACCTGATCTTTCTGCATCTGTCACTTGCGACTCGAGGTCAGTTTTTCTGCCGACTAATCTCCGCAACTTGGTTTCGAGCGACCTTAGATTATCATCCAAATTCACGTACCTCCTTCCTCTGTCTAATGCCAAATTCCCAAGTGCCTCCATTGTTAATTTCTAGTGAACTCCCTTACCTGTTTAAGTGACAAAAGAATCTCTAAGAAGTCTAATTCAATAAAGGCAGCAGAAGAATCTTGATGTTCCTTTGGAAAATTTTGAAACAGGGCATTTCCAAACTTAATAGTTTGACAAATCTGAACCCGGTTAGTACACTAAACAATTAGCTGTTTAATGTTGGATTCTACATAATGGTATCCTCAACTTTTAATCAACGTTTCAATGATGCAAAGGAATTAATACTGTATTCTTCGATTTTTTTTTTTTTTTGCATTTATTTTTGAATATGCGCATCCTCAATATTAAGATGAAAAAGACTTGTTATCATATTCAACTATTTATCAAATACAAGTTCTATAATATGATAACTTTCTTGGCTGAATGAAATCTTCATAAAGGATACATGAATTAAGGACTCATTAAGTCTCATTCCACAAATAGTCCAATTAAGGACCTCATAGAATTTAGAATATACCAAACTTAGTCTGCACATTGCTTAACAAAGAAGTTCAAAACACAATATTTATGCCTGAGATTGACAAGAAAACTTGAAGAAGCTAAAAACTCTACCAAAAGCATGTATTGTGACTGTTAAGTGCTGAGAAAAGGATCGCAAAAGACTAAAAGTTTTTTTTTCTTTTTTTTTTTTTAAATATGGTAAAAGACCAAAAGTTGAACTAACATCAAAACCACCAATGACTTTAAGGGTTCATGATAGCGGGCCCTCGTCAAGGAATGTCAGAAAGTATACTGGAATTGCAATGGTTAAATACCTCCATTATTACTAAATGCTAAATGCTAAATGCTAGGATAGAATGATATTTTGATTAATTTAATTTAAATACTATGGGTTTCCATAGTATGTATTTGTCTATGTCCTTTTGCTTATGCAATATGATTTCTCAAAAGCTATTTTCAAGCTAAGAGAAATTTTAAGATATTGTGCTCTAATTATAAGAAAAATTACACGACTACTTGACTCACATGCATGTTGATTCAGCACTCATGTTAAGTAATTAGTGGTTGTAACTTTTAATAATATACTATACTTTGTTCGCAAACTGTTCGAATAGAGATTACCCGTTCATCCAGGGTAATAATTCTTAGACAAATTGATCGGTAGAAAAAAAAAATCAAAGCGATCACAACTTAATAACTTTAAAACATAAGAGGGCTTTTCTTGGGTTTTGTTAGTGAACAAATTTTTCAAAATTGAGTTGGAATGAGCCTTCTAACAACATAAGATCAATTAGTCTAAGGGGGGAGCAAATACTTTCTTTGCAGGATGAACTGCCAGTTTAGTCGTTCGAGTGGGCACTTAGAAGGAGCTGTGGTAGTGCATAGATGTTGCAGATGATTTGCTTTTGACAAATAAAATTTAAAAGCTACCACCGCCGAAAGGAAAAAGACTTGGCCATTGACGTTGACGAATTGTCGAGAGGAAAAATCCAGGAAGCTGCAGGGGAGGCTTTTCAAATTTTGGAAGTGAAATTATTTCGGGAAGGCGACTAGTGGGCTTGAAGCGGGAAGGCTTCCCCTCTTGTCCCTCGGCCCAGCTACCCCGGCAGGTGCTTGCGTGGGGGTCCACTTCTATTTTTATTTTTTTATTTGACTTTATTTATATGTATACAATGCTGATAATAAATTTACTAATTTTTTTTGAATTTTTAACCAATAATTCAACCTCAAATAAAGTTTAAAAATTACTTTGATCTTTGTGAATTCATTTCTCCATATTTAATTTTAGATACAATCTAAATCAACTATCATTGTCTTTTTTTATAACATGCCGTAGGTAAAAAAAAAGGTAATCTAACGTAGAAACATATCCTTTTACCCAATAAATAAAAAGAAAGCCAAAGATAATTAAAAAAGAAAGATTACATTATTTTACCACAATTTCAAATATATATATATATATATATAATCATATTATGTTATCTCTATTATATTCTCCTGATTAACAAGCATAGCTTCACTTGTCGTTGTAAATGAACAGTGATCTTGTTAATTGGACGAGGAGAGGAGGTGGAAAGTTATCAGTGAACAGCTAGAAAGTCTTTGGAAGACATTTGACAAAAATACTTTTTGATCCCTTTTTCAATTTAAAGGATTGGTTGCTGTATCAATTTTGAATACTAGTCCCTACTCCCTTTTTTTTTTTTTTTTTTTTCCTTTTTGAAAAGAAAAGGAGAGTCCCTATTCCTTGATCTGCCTTTTTGGCACTTTATATTTTTTAGTGCATAATCGAAATGAAGGCTTATTTGATTCCAAATTCACAATTAAACTGGAAACAAGAATCAATTTATTTCTTGTCAGCTATACGATGTCCATTCATCTATCACATGCCAATAATTTTCATGGGATTGGACTGCCAATAATTTGGGTACTATACACTTATTATCTGAATGACACGTCTCTGTTGCAAAAGCAGAGTGTCCTTTACTACTTGCCAAGCACTTGATTTTCCTACCTGATTGATTTACTACTTGCCAAAAAAAAAAACTTTTAGGTCAGTGGCTTTCAAAAATTTTTGCCACCAAAACCTAGCTAAAGAAACAACCAATTATCACCAAAAAAAAGCTGGTACTAGTAAAAGAGGCTCACTTTTTACTTCACGTAAAATTTACAATAACCGCACAATTCTACTAAACTCCCAGTCGTACTTGGCCCAAATCAATTTACTACATATGACAGGCTGGGAACGGGTAGATATTTCAAAGGATAAATTACATGTAACTATCTGTTGTTTCGTCTATTGTCACATGACCTCCTAACTTTTTAATATATATACTTCACCTTTCATGATTTTATGTGAAGTGAAAACTTAACAGAAAATAGCCTATGTGACGTCGTTAATTGAAATATTAATAGTGCTCTTACTTAAATGTTAAATCAATCAATAGCTTAATCACCTTATATTAAAATATAGGGAGTAAAGTAATTATTTATACAAATCATAAGGGGGTTATGTGAATATTAATATTTTATCATAGGTGCTTTTAAAGCATGTTTGGTATAAATGTCATAAATAATAGTGCATTTCATCCATTTTCACATTACATAAAAATCACATGGGGCTTATGTGACTATTTTAAAACTTTAGGGGAGTCATTTGACATTAGGTAAAATCACAGGGGATAATAAGTAATTCATCCTATTTCAAAATATTACAAGCTAACTTCAGCAGCTATAGTTCACCTTGTGGTTGATGCTGTACAGATGATCAGTACCTCTTGGACCAAGGTACCCTTAATCAAGGAGAATTGGACCCTTGTGATGGAACGGATGCTTTGCAGCTTAAAATGGAGTACCTGATTCTTTCTATCTTGTTTTAGCTAGTTTTTTTTTTTTTTTTTTTGTATTTCACTGGTACAAGTTTCTTCATTTTTGTAATGGAGTGTATAGTTAATATAACTGATGTAAGTATATGAGAGTTCTCTCTTTTAGTCCAACTTAGATGCTAATTAATGAAAAGCTATTATTAAAAAAAAAAGGTTGAGCCACCTCTTGGCATTAACAACTCCTGATTATCATTTCAAACAATATACACGTATGAATTCTTTTGAAATTTTCAGTTCTGCAGTGCAATAACAAAAGCCAATCTTTGATTCCATAAGCCAACAGCTCAAGTGATATTAATAATTTATGTGATGGCAAGTAAAAATTGCAAAAAGACAAGTAAACGAGACTTTCTTTTAAGTCAATGATATGCAACTGACCACATACTTCTTTTTATGCAATTTCAGATATCCTTAATTCCGAACCGTTCATGCAACAATATACACAAAATGATTTTTCAATATTAAGCAAGTATGCAACAAAAATAAAAGCAATAAGACGAGACAAAATGAACAAAAAGCCAGAAAAAAAATAAAGAAAAAAAGACTAACCAATTTTTGGTTACCTTGAAATGTTGAAAACAAAAATCTCAGCTCTTATTTGTATGCTTGAAGTGGAAGAAGTTGAGAAAGATGATAAGCTGCCAAACCCGCCAATAATTGCTTTTCTGGCTTCTACTTTGTGGGCTAGTTTTCAATACCTGTTCATGTAGAGACACGAATGAATGAGAACATGATCAACACTGGTGAGAGAGAGTAAAAATTGGGAGATCACGGGGAAGGTTTTGGAAATCAGACTCATTATGAAGGAATCAGTCGAAAGTTTGTAAACATACATCTTTCTTTTGGGAAAGTTTTAATGGATAATAAAAGCTACTCCATTATTAGCATGGGACCAGCATTACAAGGGCTTGGTGTTCACATTGACGAAAGGAAACATCCAGGAAAATTGCATCTAAAAGACTTTCTCAAAGTTTGGATGAAATTATCAAAGCTTAAGTCAGAACTGCTTTTCAATTTCTACATTGATTGGACAATTAAAGCAACTCCATTAAAAGCAGAGGACCACCACCGAAAGGGAAAAGACTTGCCCGTTGACAAAAATGAGGAGAGGAAAATCCAGGAAGTTGCAGGGAAGGCTTTTCAAATTTTAGAAGCGGAATCATTAATAAGTGAAATTTGAGTAAAATTTTTTAATCTTTGTTTTTTCTGATTCCATAAAAAAAAAAAAAAAAACAAAGAAACTATAAACCTTCCAAGAAAGAAGAGGAAAAGGGATAGTTTAAGAATCTGAACCAGAAACTATCACTTAATTAATGTCACTAACAGTTGTGTCATCTAGATATCAGGGGATACGACATTAGTGGTTTTAAGTAGATGTCAAGCTGGAGGAAGGATTATATTAAGTGGTAAGATGGGGAAGATTGTAACTTTATTACTACCAGACTATGTATTAGACCATGAGAAAAGAAAAGGGAAAGCAATTAACATTTATACTATCAATCAAAAGACTAAAAAGATTTGCATAAATGAAGTTCACTATTTCTTGCAATCTCAGGCCTTAGATTTCACCTCAATTTTATTTTTAATTCTCTTCCCTCTGGCTCAACCACTTAGAGTCTTACAGAATACAGAGTAATAAAAAAAGGGGGAAAAAAAGATCCCGAAGGAGATCAGTCCCATCCAAATAATGCTGCTGTCTAATCAATTTTATCATCAACTGTGGTTCTCCAAATTCTGCTGATTTTCCAGCAAAAGCCCGTCAAAATGCCGGCTTTGCTCAGTAAATTGGACCACCTGATCTTGCATCTTTCTCGCATGGCCTCCAACCAAGAAAAGTTTCCAAAACTTCTCCTGTTGTACCCTTCTCTGCAATGCAATGAAATCATTCTCTAATTTTCCAACATCCTCCAACCAATTCTTCACCTCTGATTTCCCCTTCTGTCGTCCTGATAGCTCAGCTCTTTCCACTGTCTCCTCTAAGTCAGATGCTCTGCTGCTCAACGCCTTGAAATTCCTAGCCAGCAATTGCATGTCTGATAGGTTGCGATTTTATCATTTATTTTATTATTAAGATTTTCCAGCAAAAGCCCGTCAAAATGCCGGCTTTGCTCAGTAAATTGGACCACCTGATCTTGCATCTTTCTCGCATGGCCTCCAACCAAGAAAAGTTTCCAAAACTTCTCCTGTTGTACCCTTCTCTGCAATGCAATGAAATCATTCTCTAATTTTCCAACATCCTCCAACCAATTCTTCACCTCTGATTTCCCCTTCTGTCGTCCTGATAGCTCAGCTCTTTCCACTGTCTCCTCTAAGTCAGATGCTCTGCTGCTCAACGCCTTGAAATTCCTAGCCAGCAATTGCATGTCTGATAGGTTGCGATTTTATCATTTATTTTATTATTAATTTCCCCAATTACCTGACCCAATGTGGGTTAATTATTAAATTCTACTCATTTTTAGTATTTTGCATATATTTCAGGGAGTAGAACGAAAATACCATAATAAGTGCCAATTTGACGATTATCAGGAAAGAGTTCAAATAGCAGGCAATCAAGGGCATTCTTGGAACAAGAAAATGCAAGACCTTATTGGTAATTTTGACCGAAGACAGCAACTAGAAAAAGGGAAAAGAAAGCAAACCTCAGGGTCTTCTTCTTCCTCTCCGGAAGGGGAGCCGCCGCACATTGGAGAGCATTTAGATAGAATAGGAATTGAGATTGCAGGGAAGGAGCACTACCTTTTTGTCTTCTTTAATTTTTCGTCTTGTAGCGTAGCATGGAACTTTGACTTTTCTTTTCCCTTGCTTCTCGTTTGTAGTTTTCTTCTCCTCGTATGTTAGGAGAAACAATAAAAAAGACTCAAGCACTTCCTGTAGCTTCTCTTTTGGTCAGTATTCCATCGAATTGAGTTCATCCATTTACCAATTAATGGCTGCGGTTTTCTCTCTAACTTCCTGTGGGTTTTGTTCATCAAGTATGAACTAATTTCACCACTCTAGTCAAGGAGCAACGAAAGCTCTGGTTCACCTAAAAATTGTGAGATCGTTTTAATTTAATTTTTTCCTTTTATTTATTGGTATCCGCATATTTCTTGGTTGCTATGCTTATGGTTATTTAATTAATTGATTGTATTGGATCCAGATAATTAGTTGATTGGATAATCTATTGTCAATTAGGGCATTAAATCCGTAATTGTTTAATTGCTCTAAAATAGTGGCAACTGGCATGATTAGGTTTGTGTCAGGGGAATACGCGGGCTAATCTAAAATAACCCTGGTAGTGCGTTATTTGTTTAGAATAGGGCTCCTCTAATACGTAAGGCAATTGGGGAATTAAATTCTACGGGCGTACCTAGGATTATTTCTCAATTAGAGCAGTGATTAACGGGCGTACCTTGATCACCGACACAGTAAGGAGGGGTTGACTGCCATCGCTTGTTTGGTAGTTATAACCTATTTATTGACAAATAATTGGAATTGCCTTTACTTCAATGATCAATTAGGTGCACCATTGCTGAAGTTATTCTTTGGCTAGATTCTTAATTATCATTCATTTGATTTTAGTAATTTGTTATTTAATTTTTAGTAGTTTCTTAGATTTTATTTGAATTTATTTGATTGTCACTTTCTGCACAAAAACACCCCCTTGTCACTGTGAACTTGAAAAGAAACAATTACTCCCAGTCCCTGTGGATTCGACCCTACTCACCACTATCTACAGAAATTATTTTTAGTTTGAGCAGGTATTTATTATTGCACAGGCTGACAACCTGTCAATTTTTGGCGCCGTTGCCGGGGACTGGTGCCAGATTAATTTGTTTCTTTTTGAGTTCACCTTGTTTTCATTTTCAATTTATTTTTCTCTTATTTTTCATGGCTGCTAACATTCCATATTTTGATGATAGACTGGATTTTGTTCCTGAATGGGGTTATGAGACTCATGTTTTTCCTAATGACCAATGGGCTGTTACAAATTGTGGAGCTTATTCTGACTCAGGTTATTCAACTGACACATGCCCCGCATTTCAAGATAATCTGAGTGCTCCAATTGATACTTTTGGAGATTTTTCACCCCGATATCAAATGCAGTATGACCCTTATTCAAACGGGTATGATCAAGGATGGTGGGATAATTTCAATTTTGATTATGCGACCGGGCCAATGGATTTTCAACAGCAAGAGTCTCAACAACCATCGTCCCTGTCAGATTTTCCACCCCAATATCAAATGCAGTATGACCCTTATTCGAACGGGTATGATCAAGGATGGTGGGATAATTCCAATTTTGATTATGCGACCGGGCCAATGGATTTTCAACAGCAAGAGTCTCAACAACCATCGTCCCAACAACCATCGTCCCTGTCAGGTATGTCTTTTCAGGAATTGGGTGAATTATTTATTAATACATACAAATCCCAACAGGAGGCACAAATGAGGAATGAGATGCTAATTGATACTTTTGAAGATTTTTCACCCCAATATCAAATGCAGTATGACCCTTATTCAAACGGGTATGATCAAGGATGGTGGGATAATTCCAATTTTGATTATGCGACCGGGCCAATGGATTTTCAACAGCAAGAGTCTCAACAACCATCGTCCCTGTCAGGTATGTCTTTTCAGGAATTGGGTGAATTATTTATTAATACATACAAATCCCAACAGGAGACACAAATGAGGAATGAGATGATGAAGGATGCAATGAGTTATCTGGCGGATCAACTATGTCTATTGACATCCAGAATGAATCGATTGGCTTCTCAAATGGAAGAATTGCCCTCGAAAATCATTGTTGATCTAGAAGAAAATGAGAGTGCAATTTGCTTGACTAGTGATGAGGAGCTGCAAGAGTGTCAAAATGAGGAATCTACAGATGCAGTTGAAAAAGAAGCCAAAAAGGAAGAAATGGAACCCCAACCGCAACCCATTCACGTGAAAGAATCCAGTGAACAATCTCCAAATGCGGTGACATCTCCTCCACTCCTTCATCACTATTCTCCTGACTCTTACTCTTCAATTCCTGTTAATGAAATTGACTTTATTATACCAGACAATTTTGAATTTCATGACAGGAATAAATTAAGAGTGGCGATGGCAAGATATCTTGTACCAATAAATGCAAGTGAGGGAAGAGTGAATGGAGGATGCAAATTATCATCGACTTGTTTGATGCCATTCACTAGTCCAGGGAAGACCGTAGCTCGTGTGCTCAAGGATTATTCTATTTACGAGGGTTATCAGGACTATATAGAGGATGAAGCATTAAGACAAGTTACAAGATTTTATCCTCCATGAACAAAACGTGATAATGTCTAGCCAAAGACATTAAAGAAAGGCGCTCATTGGGAGGCAACCCAATTTCTTTTAGTTGTTTGTTTGATTTTATTTGTTAGTTTAAATATGTTTTTCCTTGAATTCGACTGATTTTGGGTTTCAGTTTTCGTTTTTGCTGATTTATAGGTGTCCTTCAGTCATGACGCGCCCGCGTGGTGACGTGCAGGAAGCCCACGATCAGAAACTTGTGGGAGCTCTCTTGCCCTCATGACGCGCCCGCGTGGTGACATGCAGGAAGCTCACGATCAGAAACTTCTGGGAGCTCTCTTGCCCTCATGACGTGCCCGCGTCACGTTTGCAGGAAAGGTAAGGATTCTAAAAAAAAAAAAAAAATTAAAAAAAAATTGATTTCCTTAAAAAAAAAACCAAAAAAAAAAAAAAATATATTTCTCACCGTAGCTCAATTTTACAAAAAAAAAAAAAAAAATTTTTGCTTTTTCCTTCTTTTTCTTTTCTTTATTTTTCTTTCTTTCTTCTTTCTTTCTTCCTTCTCCCCTGCTCTCTCTCTGTTGTCCGAATCCCGCCCACTCGCGCCGCCCACCTCACTCATGCCGCCACCTCGCGTCTCGCACGAAGGACCAGCCAGCCATCCACTTCGAACCTCGCCGCCCACCGCTGCTGAAGCTCCATCGCTGCCGCCGCTGCCCATCTTCCTTCCACACGCAGCTCCTTCCTCGCGCAGCCACAAGCCCACAGGCGCGCGGCAGTAGCCTCTGTCCCGCCGCCCAAGCGCGACGCGCGCCTGTCCACCAGCTCTTCGCGCGCCGCCACAGATGCCGACAGAGACCAAGGTTGCCACCAAGCTCCCTCTGCTCTCTCTCCACTTCACCCACAGCCCACGGCCGAATCTTCACCTGCGCGCAGCTCCTCCTACCCAATCACTCCACCACCAGCTCGCGGCCAAGGCTCGCCGCGCCTCTCTCCATACGACGCCACCAGCCGCCCACACCATCAGCTCAGCCCAACCTCCCTGGTGCCAGGTTTTTCTTTATTAATTTTCTGGTCCCCGATTCCAATTTCTTGATGTTGATGGGATTTTGATGATTGCGATTTCATTGAGTAAATTTGTTTGGATTGCATCTGTGTTACTGGAGCCAGTGGGTTGGGTTATGTCCTGCAGCTGATTTGCCTAGTCTGATATAACTGTCGGTTGTTTAGGCTCTTGGAGTATTGTCTGGTGCTGTTTGTATTTTTTAGTGGCTTTGGTTGGCCATTTGATTTACTTTTTCCTTGAGCATTTACCAGTGGTACTGGTAGCAGTAGTTGGCCTCAAATTTCTTAATCTTAAGTGCTTGACTGCCTAATTGACTACTGGGCTCTTGTGCTTAAAGTGTTGCCCGAATTCTGCACTGTGATTGCTGGAATTCCCCCTCTCTTGGGTCATTTGCTGTTTTTAGTCGGTTGAACTGTGTAATTGACTGTCCAATTGGAGACAGTTGTTGAGATTTTGGGTGGAGTTGTGTCCAATTGCTGAATTTGTTATTTTGATTAGCCACTAGCACCGCTCTTAGTTGTTCGAGTTGTTGTTTTGTTGCATTGTTGGGAGCTGTGCTCGGGTATGGTGGGTCATTTTCTGCGTCCATTTGCTGAATTAGGATATGAATGTGACTTTGCATTTGCTTATTGAAGTGAGTTGCCTCTAATTGCCTTGTGTGGGAGTATTTTGTCTTGTTCATCTCAATTACTTAGTTCATTGGGGTACCTTTACGGCCTTTGGGTGCCTTAGGTGTGCATTTTATTGTTTGGTTTGGCCGCGTGATTTACTTCTTTTCTGCATGTGCACCAGTGGTACTGGTTGAGGTATTTGGCTTATAATTTATTCATCTTTTGTGCACTAATGATACTGGTTGGAATATTTCCCCTTGCATGTGTCAGTTCTACTTGGTTGGATACTTGATTGACTGCTAGGCATGTGTGACTGAGTTGTTCTTGTACAATTGGAGATATTTAGAGAGATTTTGAGTGGGCGAGTGGTGTCGCTTTCTATTGATATTTGGGAGGCATCGGTGGCTATTAAATTGTTATTGCTTTGAATTTGCTGTTTACATTACCTGTGGGCAATTTTTGTCTCTTGTTGATTGAAATGACATTTGGAGAAAATGGTAAGACCCGAGCCCTCTTCTTCTGCGCCTCCCCCATCGATGGCCTCCACTGTTCCCTCCTATCCCTTAGCTGTTCAACAGGGAAGTTTCATTGTTCTCTTCGCTTTCATTACTTTATTACCTCCATTGAGGACAATGTAGGATTTAGGTGTAGGGGGAGCAGTTATGGTGCTAGTGTCTTTCATTCATTTTTTTTTCTTTTTAGTGATTGGCTCGTAAGTGCATGCCAAGGTTTGATGTTGGATTATTGCCTCTATTTCTACTATTGCCAATTTTAATAATAAAAGGGTATCAAGTTAATGTGGTTGAGTCCAAAAATATCTCTTTGGTGAATATCGATGATTGTTTTACTCTTATAATTTTTTGTTAACTTTCCTAGGCATAGGGAATGATTATTGGCATTTTCATGTGAATTGGTCCGGTTATTAACTTTAGTTCTCCATGTTTGAAAATGAGGCTAGCTGATGCAAGTTCCTTTTGATTTTTGTGTTATTTTGAATTTTTGATATTATTTGGTTGTGAATAAGAGTTGACTGTACTCCACTAGTATTTACTACCGAGTAACCGGGGATCTTCACCAAAAGTGTCGATTCTCGCGTCAAAAAGTAGTAATTGCTATGAGTACGTGGTCACGTGGCGATAGAAGCTGAGTAACCGGGCTCCTTCATCTGGCCAATGTTGGAGTTCGCGTCAAAAGGCTCAAATGGCTAGCGACTAAGTCTTTTGTTACTATTGAAAAAAAGAGAATAAAAAAAAAGAGAGAGAAAAGTAGAAAAAAATGTGAAAAAAAAGTGAAGGTTGTGTTAGTGTATAATAAAAGTCAGCTTGCCGATTTATGGATTTAATGTTGAGATTTTGGTTAATAGTTGGACCATTTACTGATAAATGTTATGCGTTATTCCTTCTTCTTAGATTAGTTAACATGAAATTATAGGATCTTGTGGTTTGGAAGCTAACCGGAGTGATGCTTCTTGGACTTGACCATTGATGCTTGATTATTATTTTTCTTGGTATCTTGGCAATTTGTTGGATAGAGCGATAGCCATTGTCAAATATTGGTGTTTGTTTACTGTTCTTATGCTTGAGGACAAGCATGATTTAGGTGTGGGGGAAATTGATAGGTTGCGATTTTATCATTTATTTTATTATTAATTTCCCCAATTACCTGACCCAATGTGGGTTACTTATTAAATTCTACTCATTTTTAGTATTTTGCATATATTTCAGGGAGTAGAACGAAAATACCATAATAAGTGCCAATTTGACGATTATCAGGAAAGAGTTCAAATAGCAGGCAATCAAGGGCATTCTTGGAACAAGAAAATGCAAGACCTTATTGGTAATTTTGACCGAAGACAGCAACTAGAAAAAGGGAAAAGAAAGCAAACCTCAGGGTCTTCTTCTTCCTCTCCGGAAGGGGAGCCGCCGCACATTGGAGAGCATTTAGATAGAATAGGAATTGAGATTGCAGGGAAGGAGCACTACCTTTTTGTCTTCTTTAATTTTTCGTCTTGTAGCGTAGCATGGAACTTTGACTTTTCTTTTCCCTTGCTTCTCGTTTGTAGTTTTCTTCTCCTCGTATGTTAGGAGAAACAATAAAAAAGACTCAAGCACTTCCTGTAGCTTCTCTTTTGGTCAGTATTCCATCGAATTGAGTTCATCCATTTACCAATTAATGGCTGCGGTTTTCTCTCTAACTTCCTGTGGGTTTTGTTCATCAAGTATGAACTAATTTCACCACTCTAGTCAAGGAGCAACGAAGGCTCTGGTTCACCTAAAAATTGTGAGATCGTTTTAATTTAATCTATTCCTTTTATTTATTGGTATCCGCATATTTCTTGGTTGCTATGCTTATGGTTATTTAATTAATTGATTGTATTGAATCCAGATAATTAGTTGATTGGATAATCTATTGTCAATTAGGGCATTAAATCCGTAATTGTTTAATTGCTCTAAAATAGTAGCAACTGGCATGATTAGGTTTGTGTCAGGGGAATACGCGGGCTAATCTAAAATAACCCTGGTAGTGCGTTATTTGGTTAGAATAGGGCTCCTCTAATACGTAAGGCAATTGGGGAATTAAATTCTACGGGCGTACCTAGGATTATTTCTCAATTAGAGCAGTGATTAACGGGCGTACCTTGATCACCGACACAGTAAGGAGGGGTTGACTGCCATCGCTTGTTTGGTAGTTATAACCTATTTATTGACAAATAATTGGAATTGCCTTTGATTCAATGATCAATTAGGTGCACCATTGCTGAAGTTATTCTTTGGCTAGATTCTTAATTATCATTCATTTGATTTTAGTAATTTGTTATTTAATTTTTAGTAGTTTCTTAGATTTTATTTGAATTTATTTGATTGTCACTTTCTGCACAAAAACACCCTCTTGTCACTGTGAACTTGAAAAGAAAGAATTACTCCCAATCCCTGTGGATTCGACCCTGCTCACCACTATCTACAGAAATTATTTTTAGTTTGAGCAGGTATTTATTATTGCACAGACTGACAACCTGTCAATGTCTGATCTCCAAACCAAGTAACTTGTCCCCGTATCCACCGATACATCTGCAGCCCTTTCAACTGCTATGTCCTCTACCTTCTCTTTAAACTTGCCAAGCAGTCTTGCCACTTCGGATATAACCTTCGCAATGATGTTCACAATGATTTGCAGCATCATATCCACGGCCTTCCAAATTGCACCTGCCATCTAATACAATCCGACCAAAGAATGTTAGATTTCAAAATATAAAGAATTAACGAGAGTAACTGTGCCCTCTTGACCTGCAAAGCACGTGCCTCGTTGCTGGTTTATGTGTGTCAAGTACTATATAAAACTGTAACAGGAAAGATCTATTGACAATATAAACTATTCCTTAAAGTTTTGGTATACTGTTCAATTGAAAATGCTGAGTACCTCACAAGCATCAGAAAAACTGGTGATGGATAAAAGGGAATGATAGACTTATAGGGGGAGAAGGCAATTCTCTTTAAGATGTTGACGTTGACGATGAAAATCATGGAAAACTGGTGAGAAAGCCTTGGGAAGAAACTTGGCATAAGTAGAGGTGAGACCCACACTACAAAATGAAGGGTACTGAAATTGTTAAGATTTCGCAGCCTATATCAGTTGATACAAGATTAGATGTTAGAGAACTAATTGTGTGTTTTATTTGTGAATATTTCCCTTAGATTATGACCAAATATTGTGCTAAGAGCTGGATTTTACTCATATTTGGTTTTTAGTGTTATGACCAAATATTGTGGGCCAGCTTGAAGTTTTGCCGGTCATTTGGATGTAAAGTGGGCCGAGCTTGAAAATTTTGTCGATCATTTGGAATGGAATCTTTATTTCCATTATGGACTTGGACACTGATTATTTAAGTTTAGTACTAATATTCAGTTTCATTTTTATTAGTACTAATATTTGTTAGTATCAAAATTAACACTTGAGGTACCTATTAGTCAAACCCAATAATTAATTAGTGGAAAAGGAAAAACCAATTTTTAGTGCATGACTTCTTTGTCTGGCTTAGTAATAGAAGACAGAAAATATGATGACGTTTTACTTATTTCCATTCATAGTTTTTCTCTTTAGGATTTAGAGAATAGTTTGGGCTCTAGACTTACCATCTTTTACTTTCTATCACGACGTTCATCTAATTATTTTGTCACATAATTTTACATGCGACACTTTGAACTTAATTTGTGAATAAAACAGAGAACTGACATAGAAAGTAGGATAAAGGATTTATAATCTGTAAATTAGCATCTTTTTCTTACTCTTTTATGGTGTAATTTTACATGTAACACTACAATCATTCAAAATTACCTCAATTTTCTGTGCTCCCAATTGAAAGAAAGGCATGCCTCCTCCAAAGTCCCAAACTACCCATAAGAAAGGCCACTTGGTGAGGGGCTTAGTAATGCTGTCCCACCAAAGGGGTATCCTTAGTATATAAGAACTCAGAGGTTAAGACCACGCCTTCAGTACTTGAGATTTCCCTAAAATATACCAAGTTTGAATATTTCACATAATTAAGTATGACCCCAATTTGGGCCATTTTGACACCATCATTTTACTTGATAAGTTGGGTTTCTGTAATTTTTATGTCTATATGATAGAGTATACATAACGTGGGAATATATATTAAAAAAAAAAAAAAGAGGTAGACTATCTTTTGCTTTGTTTCTATCACATACAATTGCGTATAAAATATCTATCATTCTTCTTGCCTGATAAGTTCTCTATTTCTTGACAAATTTTAGTATGACACAAAGTTATGGACTTAGGGACTAGAATATGTAGATTTTGTGGGTTTGGTGTAGAGATAATGATTGTTTGAATGATTGTTTTTTTTTTTTAAATTAAGTTTTTATGTAATATAGAGAATTTTTTACACTAACAAATATAGTTGTAGGTCATGTATACAAAAATTGAATTTCAAATTCGAAACTGGATTAAGTGCCATGCTCAATTTGATACCCATGGAAATGAAATCAACTAGCATTCAGTTAAGTTCACTAAATTGAGTAATCCTTTTTTTAGCAGATATTATCCTTCTTTCTACGTCATCAGGCACTTAAAGATGACTTTGACCCCTTAAAACAATGAAAAAAACGGATGTCCTGACGTTGTGATATTTGTTAATCACCAGCTGATATGTGGTTACATTATATGAAGGGCAAATTACATTTTGCCCCCCTGTGATTTACCTTTTTTACATAACCCCCCCTATAGTTTCAAAAGCTATACATAACCTGCTCATGGTTTGGATTAAAGTGTTAAAGTGACGAAAATAGCCACTCGTAACGGAACTTCTAAAAATGTCAAATTTACCCTTATAAAAACACGACACATTAACCCCGTATAATTTTTGTATTTTACCATATAACCCCCTTATGGTTTAATACTTTACCATACAACCCTCTTATAATTTTTAAAATATACACATAACCTCCCTTGGTTCATGCATAATTTCCAACTTTACATAAGGGTAATTTTAACATTTTAGGTGACGCCGTTATGAATGATCATTCCCGTCACTTTAACACTTTAATCCAAACCATAAGGGGGTTATGTATAGCTTTTGAAATTATAGGGGGATTATGTAAAAAAATGCTAAACCACATGGAGATAAATAAAGTGGAATTTGCCCTTATCTGAAACCACATTCCTTCCTTCACCTCATCGTACACCAACTGACATTATATTTCCTACCCTAGGCCAATTTCTGTTTGTCCTTTGTTCCTTTATTGGTTGCATATGACTGAGTTCTTTGTGGTGTGAAGACACTGAATTAGGCTCAAACTGAAATCAATCAAACTATAAACTGGAGAATAATTAGTTATGATTGTTCCTTGATTGAAAGTTGTTAACCTCGATTTTGCTTCTTCATAAATTACAGGACTGCAGATTAGCAAGTTGATGCTTGCTTTGATTTTTCACAACAAAAGCCAATACCATATCAGATGACATATACAGTGCATGGCTCTTGCAAGACAAAACTACATCTGATTTTTTTTTTTGTTAAATGCATTTGTTTCTGAAAAAGGAAAAAAATCATTCCATACAAGTTTGATATATTTATAAATAATCGCTGCAAAAGAAGTCAGAGATAAAAGGCTCAAGTCACATAGAAAAGTTGATGTCAAAGCTTCTTCTATTCATTTACTCTAAATGTAGATATTTAACTCTAGAAGGGAATCAAATATTATTCTGATCCTTCTTTAACATGCACGTACAATCCTAACCCTAATAAAAAGGATTTAGCTAAAGAATTATCAGTGGAACTGGATATATAATTGCTTGAAATGGAAATCAGGAAAAAGCACATACGTAGAATGGTTTAAATTGATAGAGTGAGAAAACATTCTTGGAGTACAATATTGATAGGGTACAATTTGTTAGTAATTTTAGTATTGATTTCCCTTTTATCCCTGATAAATATTGTGTTAATTGCTGATATTTACTCATATTTGGTATCTGGACTTAATTTCAGGAATGAAGCAGAAAACCATAAAAAAGGAAGGACTTTATGGAAAATAGGGAGACTTCTAAGGGCTTTAATTCTTGGGCCCTTGAATTGGTGGGGGACCACAAGCTAGTGGAAAGCATCTAGTCATTTGGGCTCTTAAAAGAAAGCTACGGAAAGAGACTTGGGGCAAGAAGTACTTTGAAGGCTTTGTCCACATGTGTGGGGACCACCTAGATAGACTTTAGTCATCTTTCTTTTGTTGCTTAAATAGGGATAACGTAGAGTAGCAGGAACATCTCTAGTTTTTCTTTTAGTGTAGCTTTACTTTTTCCTTCTTTTGACTGGCCTCTGACACACGCCAGGTGTTCGACAAAATTCCCCAACGGGAAAAACACCTTTTATTCCTTGCTTCTTAATAGAAAACGCTATGCCTTTGCAATCCATTAATTCGTGTGGTGATTTAATTATGCGGCGTGGCTAAATCTTCCATCTAGTCAAGGGTCAACTCGACGGCGCAGTCCCGAAAATCTGTGAGATCTAATTAGTTTTCACGTGTTCCTTTATTTATTAATATTTGCACGTTATCTGCTTGAATTTTCATGGGATTATTTTATTAATTGGATGTCAAGGGCCCGATGTTCAATGTGATTTATTAATCTCATGCCAATTTAGTCAATTAAATCCGTAATTGTTTGATTGATTAAAGTTAGTGGCAACTGGTGTGTTTACACATTAGGGGAACGTGCAATCTAATTTAAATAACCCTCGTAGCGTGTTATTGGTTAGGGCTAGGTTTTTCTAGTTATTAATGCAATTGGAAAATTAATTCCTACGGTCGTACCTAGGAGTACTTTTCTGGTTAGAGGTGATTAATGGTCGTACCTTGGTCATCTATAATTTAAGGAAAAATTGGTCGTCAGACTATAACTAGCCTATTAATACATTAAGCGAACCTCTCTTGCATCAATGATTGGATGATTGGACTGTGCCTGAGTAGTTGTATCCTTGGCTAGAATTTATTTATTCTTGATTTAATTCCTATTTTACTTGTGCTAGTGATTCATTTATTTTTAATTAAATTGTTTAATCATTTTTAGTTTCATTCCAGTGAAATCCCCCCTTATCAATTGGACTTTTTAAAGAGACATATATCCCCAGTCCCTGAGGAGACGACCCTACTTGCCACTGTCTACTATTTAGTAATTTTTGTCTATTAATTAATTCTGGTATATCGGGTTAAGCAAACTCTTCGGGAACAGGGTGAATCAAGTAACCCATTGCACACCTAGAGTCCCTGCTCCAGTACCTAGGATTGATTATTGACTGCTTTTAGTGGTATCTAGGTTCTATATTTATTATTATTATTGCACAGGCTGACGACCTGTCAATTTTTGGCGCCGTTGCCGGGGACTGGCGTTATTATTTGTTTCTTTTTAAATTCAAATTTTGTCCTAATTTTCTAATTTTCTTTTAGTGTATGCCTCGATCTTGTCGCACAGGTGATTTGGTTTTTGATCCTGAGGTAGAGAAGACCGCGCGTAGAACGAGAAAGGAAACCAGACAGCTCAGAGAAGAGCACTCTAGTGCTACATCTCAAAGACCCGAGTCAGAAGTTGAACCAACTGATTCGTTTGGTAACACTTCGAGTGACTCTGACCAGGAGGAGTTCACCACGGCTAATGCACAAACATTAAGGGAGTTGGCTGCTCCTGATTTAACTCAGCAGCCTTTGTGCATTACTTTCCCCGCTTTAAATGACAACATTCCATTTGAACTAAAATCTGGTCTGATTCAGCTTTTACCCTCTTTTCATGGTTTACCAGGTGAAGAGCCGTATAAGCATCTGCAGGAGTTTGATGTCGTTTGCAACAGTATGAAACCCCCGGGAATCACAGAAGAGCAGATAAAAATGAGGGCATTCCCCTTCTCCTTG